GGGAAAAGAAATATTCTAGCCAGGTAATTTTAATTTCTTTTAGAAAAAAAAAAAAAAAATACACTCGCGTAGCATTTTCTTTTATTGTATTGTATTTAATAATCTTTTTTTCTCTATGGGTAACTAACAGAAACTAGGAGACATAATGGAAATGGCATTTGGTGGTCGTTATGTCATCATAATGATGTCAATTTTCTCAATTTACACGGGATTTATTTATAATGAGTTTTTCTCTGTGCCATTTGAACTTTTTGGGCGCTCTGCTTATGATTGTCGTGATCCTTCCTGCAAGTATGGAATATGAAATCCTTTTTCTTTTTAAATATATTATTAAACTTTTTGTTTAGCACTTTATTTTTTAAACATTTGAGTTCATTTTAGGGATGCTACTACTATTGGAATGATTAAGGTGCGGGAAACTTACCCGTTTGGTGTGGATCCTATTTGGCATGGAACGCGAAGTGAATTACCGTTTCTTAACTCTCTGAAAATGAAAATGTCGATTTTACTGGGAGTTGCTCAGATGAATCTTGGAATTATTTTGAGCTATTACAATGCAAAGTTTTTCAAAAATGACATAAATATCTGGTAAGATATTTATGATTGAAGCATATCGACACATGTCAGATGTTACACATGACATGATGTAGTGGGACAAAATTGCAATTTTTTGTCCCACCCAAAAAAGGTGGGACAAGGAGTCGCTTCGATCTTGTCTGTGCAAAAGACATAAATGCCCTCCGCATCTTCATCATTGGAAATAGCCCTAAATGTATTGGCTATTCCAATGTAAAAGATGTAAATGCCCTTCTCTTATATATTGAGGTTCTAAACATGGATATGATTTCAGGTACCAATTTGTTCCCCAGATGATATTTTTAAACAGTTTATTCGGCTACCTTTCTTTGCTCATCATTGTGAAATGGTGCACTGGTTCACAAGCTGATTTATATCATATACTGATATACATGTTCCTTAGTCCCATGGATGATTTAGGAGAAAATCAGCTTTTTTGGGGCCAAAAATATCTTCAGGTTTCATTATCTCTTATTTATAGCCTTATTTTTATTTTTAATAAATAAAATCATAATTCATAAATAACGGAATTGTACTGCTAGATACTACTACTTTTGTCTGCACTTGTTGCTGTACCATGGATGTTGATCCCAAAGCCACTTCTATTGAAGAAGCAATATGAGGAAGTAAGTATGCCGAATTTTCTTTTTCTTTTTTTGTTTGCATTAGGATTTATGGCAACTAAATTTTGATGTTGACCTTGTTTACCAGAGACACCAAGGTCAAAGCTATGCACCACTTCACAGCCTTGATGAAAATATTGAATCAGAGATGTATGAATCTCATGGTGGGCATGAGGAATTTGAGTTCAGTGAAGTATTGGTGCATCAATTAATTCATACTATTGAATTTGTTCTTGGTTCAGTGTCTAACACAGCCTCTTATCTTCGTCTCTGGGCTCTAAGGTCACCTACCAAATTCTTTCTCTTTTCCCATAAACTCTTATGTAGAATAAATTACATTTTTGTTTTATGTTGTTACCAGTTTAGCACACTCCGAACTTTCCAGTGTATTTTACGAAAAGGTCCTCCTTCTTGCCTGGGGGTAAGTTATTATTATTATATCAACATATGAGGAGGGCATTCACGTCCTTTTCACAAACAAGGCGGGACAAAATGTTGCAATTTTTGTCTCATTACATTTACAATAAATACACTATTGTTATATCTGTGATGTGATGTGTAATAAAGGAAATAATGATTTGTGAGTGCAGATATAACAGCGTGGTAATACTTATAATTGGCATAATCGTATTTGTTTTTGCAACTGTGGGTGTGCTGCTTGTGATGGAAACTTTAAGTGCTTTCTTGCATGCTTTGAGGCTTCACTGGGTTGAATTCCAGAACAAGTTTTATGAGGGAGACGGCTACAAATTCCACCCCTTTTCATTTGCTTCCGTTGGTGAAGAAGATGATTGATTTGATACACACTTTTTCAAGCCACCTACCCCAAAAGAAACTTACTAAGAGGTGGTTTGCTTCCTATTAGCTTTAGTTATTCTTTAGATTCTTTTGTATGTATTTGCAATTGCAAGCTTTTCTTAAGTTAAAGGTTTTATACCTTTTTTTCTATTTAGAACCACAGAATGAATGTTCACTCCAACATTCGACAATCTTATTCAAGTTGTTGCACTATGGAACTTATAAATTAGGGGTGATTTTCACCCTTAATTTTTTCTTGAATTATTTTACAAGTTTATTAGGACAATAAAAATGTTTGGATATTACTTATTTATCATATACTTTATTACTTGATATTATGTATTCATGCTCAAATAACTCGGATATTTGTTATCTTCTTTTTCTTTTATTCTTTGCATCGTCACTTTTTTTTTTCTAACTAAAATAATAAACGGATGAGAAACAGCCCAATACTTTGGATATCCAAATCCAACCAACAATTAATCCGTCCAAGCCCATTGTCTGGAGAGCTAATCAGTCCTATTTAAATTGATTACTGAAACAGTCTTTGATTTCTTATTCAATTCATCTGATTGATTTTACAAACTCCATCATAAACCAACTATATTGGAATATTTAACCAACATATTGTGATATTAGTTCTTATACAATAATAAATCTTTAAATACTTTTATACACATAAAATATTGGGGTGAACCCAATACATTTTTACATCAAATATCAAAATGCTACGCAAACCTCACAAGTATACCTCATCAATTCTTAACACACATATAGAAAAGCATTTTATGATTATAAATAAAATAAAATTGAATCATATCGATAATCCAAACAACTTTCCTTCAATGTTCAAAGGACTCATGAAGTTGAGATTTTCTCTATCTAAACTAGTTTCTCTCTGTAATCAACTCGTAGGCGAATGAGTAAATGAGGACATATGATCTAATATTTACATATTGAAATTCATGAATTTTGGCCTTCATCTTCAAAACTATATATGTTAACCCTCTAAAAAGATGCCAACATTAGAAAGATTCTTCACCTACTTGAGGGCAAGGTTGTTAAGATCGGACTTTTACCAAAGACCGTTTTGCATTTTGCAAGATCGTGACAGTAAGATCGAAACGATTCATAATATCATACCAAAATAAACTAGTCTTCATATTTATTTGTGCAATACTCGTTATAATTTGCTATTGATTAAGACATCAATATTAGAATTAACTTTAATTTTTTAGGCATTAACCATAATTTTTGTCCTACTGCAAAAATTAAAAAGAAAATTTCAAAAGCTAAAAAGAAAACAAGATAATTGTAATCATATATAACTAAAGCCATACTATCATAAAGAGAATATCACTAGTGTCAGCCTAATTCAAGATAAATGGATGAAATGGTGATGCTCAATGAGACTTTTCATCTTGTACACACAATGCTCAATTTCAAGTTGTATGGATGAAATTTTGACTCTCAAATATAATGAAGACTAAAGATGTAGGATCAGATTAGGTTAAGATCTTAAGATCCTAGTCGGGATCTTAAGATCTCCATATATATATATATATATATATATATATATATATATATATATATATATATATATATATATATATATATATATAAAAGTTCAATAGAGAACCATTATTAATTAAGAAACCAAGGAACCAATCCAAAGCGTCGAAATTTAAAGCGATCAACGACAAAAGGAAGGGCTTTAGACTTTTACAATGGACGCACATGCACCGAATTATAACAAAACCCATTTTTTTTTCGTTCAAAACTTTTTTTAGGCCGTGTTTTTTATTAAAAAAACCGAGTATACCGTTGTTCACGATTTTCCGTCCTCTTTCCAAAGAGATCCATGATGATATATAAAAAATGATTTTTTTTTTCGAAAAAAATCCACTTCATTTCTTTGTTGAAAAGTTAAGATCTATTTTTTTATAGAAAAAAATTAATAAATATATCAAAATTCATGTTTTTTTGTACTTTTTAAACATAGATTCATATTCATGTAAAAAAACGATATTTCAGTTCAGATTCACATTGTGAACCTGTTCAGATTCATATTCTGAACCTGTTCAGATTTACATTGTGAACCTCTCAGATGTGAGTTTTTTTGGTAAGAAGGTGAATTTTTTGGTATAATCCGGTGTGTCTGCGTCCAATGTACAAGTATACATCTATTTCCTTGACCGTTGATCATTATGATTTCCGACGCTCACGATTGGTTCATTGTTAATTATGGTTCTCTATTGAACCTCACCCTATATATATATATATATATATATATATATATATATATATATATATATATGATCAAGATCGTTTTTTCGCTTGTAGCCTTGTACTTAAGATCGAATCTTAGCAACCATGCTTGAGGGTGTTGGGTAAATATATGGACATTCATGGAACCTCTTCGGAACATTCTAGAAACATCACCACATTGTACAAACAAACAAAAGTGCTATGGTCTATGAATAATAATTTTAGTTTAAGCAACGCTCCAAGTCTTTCAATTTTCTTTATATGACTACATTCTTTATATGACGTAAAAAGTGGTACATCAAATCACTAGTAATTAACAATAAACATCTTAAAATTGTCAAATTTCACCATTTTCTAAAGTTAAGCATAACAAAAAATCAACACTTTTGTCTTTTAGAATTTTATCGTTCTTTCATCCATGAAACTAGTCTTGTTTTTAATATTTAATATATTAATAATTAATAAAAAATTGTATATAATATATGCGGTGCGGTGCAGTTTTTTTTGCTGTTTAAAAACTAATAAACGCACCGCACCACAAATTTGCGGTTTTTGAAAAACAGAAAACCTCACAATCGGTTTTTATTGTGGTTGCGGTTTATCGGTTGCGGTTTATGCGATTTTTACGGTTAATTTTAGTTGCGGTGCGGTTTTTGCTCACCCATAATTACAGTGGATCAATATTCATTTGTATTTATAAAAAAGATTTATTATGATTTATATTTTATAGTCGTAAGTTGTAACACTTTCTTCGGGGACAGAAGGCTTCCCAAAGTCCGTGCCGACATTACCGGGGTTCGTACTTTGTAGATATCCTTCAAGACTCAGAGTTCAGGGAGATATCAAATACAGGCAGACTTCAAGACTCTAGAGAGAGAAACCTTGACTCACGAACAAGAGCGAAAGAAAATACTATCTAAATCAATGGAGGACGATCAGAACACCAACCTGGAAACTGCACGAGCAGACCGATCGGTGTGGCTGATGAAGTGCCCGCTCGTTGTGGCTAAATCATGGCAAGCTATTCCGCCCGATTCTCAACAAAACCTCTCTAAGGTCGTCGTTTCTCTCGATCCTCTCCATCCCGAAGATCCGTCTTCGCTTCAGGTATGTATTAAGTTTATCAATATTTAGTTGCCGTTTTGCTTTGATCGGTCCTCGAGATTGATTATTAGTTTCTCGGTTTATGCTTTGTTGTAATCCGTTCGGAATTAGATGTTTAATTAGTGATGTAATGGGTTTTGGCTTGTTCAATTTGTGTTACATTGTACTGGTATGTGCATGATTTACGGTTGTACCATTGAAACCCTAGTTTTGTGTATTGCTTTCGTTTTTGGTAACTGTGCTTTGAAAGCTTGGTGCATCTGGCCTCAAGAATCGAATTGACCAAATTGATTTTCCCATTACAAGAAGATTCTTTATTACTTATAAGACGTTTATTATGCACCCCTCATTCAATGGCACTAAGGTACTTCAGTCTCAGTTTGGTTTCTCAAGCAATCAAGTAGATTCTTAATTGTATGATCATGGTAACTGGTAGCAAAAAGGGTTAGAAAGATTGAGGGCATTATTTGTAGAAAGTGTTGGCTGTTTTTATGAACAATTTTTTGACCTTTGTGGTTTATTGAAAGCTTATGACTTAATCTTTTATATGTTTCGTTTCCACAATCAGTTCTCAATGGAGATGGCTGGTGGTGAGATTGCAAATGTGCCGAAGAGCTATTCTTTAAATATGTTCAAGGATTTTGTTCCTATGTGCATTTTTTCTGAAGCAAACCAAGGTAAGAAAAGCTTCTTAATTCTTTTTCCCTATTTGAATTAGATTCTCAATTCTTCCAATTTGATCTGGATTCTTAATTATAGAAGTAATGCATCTGTGATTGTGTTTCAGGAAAGGTTGCTATGGAAGGGAAAGTTGAGCATAAGTTTGACATGAAACCCCATAACAAGAACATGGAGGAATACAGAAAGATGTGTCGTGAAAGAACAAATAAGTCTATGGTTAAGAATAGACAGATACAGGTTTGTATAGAATTATAGATCCTATTCCTATCTTTTTATTTTAATCCATCTTTGAAATTCAGATGGAACATGATGTCTCTTTTGTTTGCTGAATAGGTGATTGATAATGACCGAGGTATGCATATGAGGCCTATGCCTGGAATGATTGGCTTGATTTCTACTAATTCTAAGGTAACATATCCCCAATGTTCTTTCATTTATTTGTGTATTTCTTGCATTTAACCCTTAAATCATCTGACAATCAGGAAAAGAAGAAGGCTTCTGCTCCAGTGAAGGGGCCGGAAGTTAAGAGAACAAGGAGGGATCGTGGAGAACTTGAAGATATCATGTTTAAGCTTTTTGAAAGACAGCCTAATTGGGCTTTAAAACAGTTGGTCATAGAGACGGACCAGCCAGCTGTATGTACATTACTTTTTCACTTTGTTTTTATTATTTATTTAAAAAAAATTAATATGGGTTTTTGTTTAATTTTGAATGCAGCAATTCTTGAAAGAGATATTGAACGATTTGTGTGTGTACAATAAACGTGGAACCAATCAAGGAACTTATGAGCTGAAGCCAGAGTATAAGAAATCAATAGAGGATGCAGATGCTGAATAAACTCATAAATAAACCAATGGATCCAAACAGACTTTTTCTTTGTTCTAACTGAAACCAAACTTGTAACAAGTCTTATATCGTGCGAGAAATGAAAGAGACATGCTTTTGCAAATATGATCTTTAATTGTTTGTGCAATCCTGGTTTTGGTATCTTTCGGTTGTCGAACATAAAGCTCTCATTTATGGAAACCGAACCATTAATTGAATGTCTGGGCTTTACTCGATTGTTTGCATGCACAACTAGTTTTATGAAGACATCTTTTGATTTGGAAGTTACAAATGGGAAGTCAAGTGCCTCGGGCCAGGTTGTACAGTGTTTGATAACATGTATCCTACTTAGAATAGTGATGCTTCTTGTAAGATATATGTGGAGTTCATGATTGTTTCTTTAAAATAGCCCTTATGTAATATATTGCTACTTATAGGACTGAGGCGTACCTATATATATATATATATATATATATATATATATATATATATATATATATATATATATATGATACACCAACACTTCTCTGTAGATAAGAGGCTTAGTGAAAATAAACTATAAACTGGAAAGTGTCAAGCCATGGGGGTGCTGACTTTGATACGATGTAAAACATATATGGAGTTCTTAGTGTTAGTATATCATATACATCGATGCGACACAATCTTTTGTCTATATATTGGAAGCTTATATTTTTCCATAATGGCTCTTTTGGATAGTAAAGTAAGTGCTAGTATATACGGTATACTATATCGGTGCGATGCGGTCATTTATGTTTATATATGTTGAAGTCTCTCATCTTTCTATTAGGGCTCTTTTGGAGAGTAAACTGAGTGCATTGCTTAGTGTATCTTATATCACATGATCTTTTATGATCTCTTTTGTCTTTATATATGTTGGAGTCACTTATGTCTCTTTATATATGTTGGAGTCCCTATTTTTTCCATAAGAGATCTTTTGGAGAGACAATTTTGGACTCATAAATTTTACATAGTAGAAAAGTCGATGTCTCCACCCTCATGCCTTAACACATTCTGAATTATTCTCATCGACCCTCCGTCTAGGAGTGTTAGTGTATATTATATCGTTGCGGCATAGTCCTTTATGTTTATATATGTTGGAGTCTCCTTTCTATAATGGCTCTTTTGGAGAGTAAACCAAAGACATCTTATGTATATCTAACATTGTATAAGCGCCGACGTTTGCACAATATGAGCTTTTAGTTTAATATTTTTATTCAGTGGACGTGGTTATTTGCAAGAACTTATTGAATCCATCGTTTGGGCTCATAATAAATTAAAAGTTGCTCCTGCTACCTGACGATGGCTTAACATATCTTTGTTTGATCTCATCTAGCATCCCTATTTGATGGGGAATGTTAGTATATCACAACATTGGTGCGACAAGTTACCTTATGTCTTAATCTATATATGTTGGAGTCTCCACAAAAGACACTTTTAAAGAAACAATCTTGGATTCCATATATATATATATATATATATATATATATATATATATATATATATATATATATATTATATATATATATATATATATATATATATATATATATATACTAGTCGTCTACCTGCGCTAAGCGACGGGTACAAAAATAAATAATTTCTAATTCATTCTAACATATTTGAAAAAAAGTATACATTGAGAGGGGGGGGGGGGGGTTGATTTTAGTCATATCGACTCTTTTGGAAATCATTCTTGAGGGGGCGTTTATATTTTATGGATTTTTTTTGTAGGATTTAGAATTTGTTAAAGAAATTCGAATTCAAGGGATTTCAAATTAAATAAATATGAAATTCGATATGTGTTTGGTTGGTAATGTATGAATTTTAGTTTAATAGGTTTTTAGTTTATTCAGTTTGATATAATTGGTTTTTTAAATATAAAATTACAGATAACCAAACCAAATTAGGTTCGGTAAAATCTGTTTTGAGTAATTAAGATTTCATTGTTCAGTTCGGTGTACCAAGTAAACCATATAGTATATCATTTCTGTGTATAAAAATATATTATATGAATTTCACATATTTTTTTACTCTTTTTATAAAAATATATGATATCAATTTCACAAACCAGCTTTTATATATTTTCATAATAAAAATCCACAATCTAAAGATCATAGACATTTTCACTTAAGACACATAGCCAAGAACATTGTTTTTCGGTCCTTATTATAATGCTAGTTTGTGAAAAAAAAAATATAAGAGGTGAAAAATTGATAATACAAACAACAATTATATTATCACTTGAATCCTCTTTTGATTTCATTTAATAAGGCGACCAGTCTCACCATTTCCGCCCAATAATGCCTCATACAAAATGTTTTCCCACTGCAATCTTTTGACCATGATTTTCTTTTCCAAAGACAATTCCCTTTTTCAACTGCAAGCGGGGAGTGTGGAGCCAAACACTATTGAATAATTTGAATTTTCGATCAAGTCATGTGAAAATTGAAAACAAATAAATCTATAAATGTATAATATATGCAAGTGGTTGTTCATAATTCAACCATTATTAAATAATTTGAGTTTTATTTATTTAAAAAAGAAATAAATACATATAATTGAGTTCACCTCAAACTAAATGAAAATGAAAATTAAACTCTTGGATTTTTTTGAGTTTCATATAAATTTAATGGATGTAATTAAGCTTGATATATATCACATTTTTAAGGACCGTCCCAAGTATTCGGCAATCACAAAGCCTCCTTTTCTTCAAACAACACACATTTTCTTTATTATTACAACACAATCTATCACAACTAATCAATCCACCACAAGTGAATTTATTAACCCCCAAGCCTCTTTTTTCAAGCTATAAGCGTTGATCATAGTTGCCTAAAAATCCATTAGGAAACTGCAGTGCCACTATTTTACTAACCCATCTAGAAGCAATTGAGGGGCATATCGGTCATTTCACCTATCAGAATAGCTACATAAAAGAGTAGACATCAAAGGGCAATTTTGATATTATGTCCAGTTTACAATTATGAAATCACGAATTAATTTCACAAACAAAGCATATAAACTGGGAATATGTCAGAAACATAATGCCATTCAAGAAATGTATAACAGCAAAATACAACCACTTTTGACATTTCCGGGTTTATATTTATGGTGTAAACAAAGCATATAATAGAAGTAATGTATTTTTGCACATCTCAAAGACTTTACATTATCAATAAACATAATCCAAAATAGGTATGAAAAAACCTAAAAAGGAGAATAAAAGGCTATAAAATGGAAAATCATAATTACCAGAAGTCTATTCTTTTGGTATCTTCTCCATCATTTGAATTAATTTGAGTAAGGCAGAAGTTGGTCCAATTTTTAATTGTCAAAACAATGGCCAACATTATTACACACATAAATAAGGAAGTTCCAATATTCACATTATGACCTAAAGTAAAGAAATAAAATACAATTATTGTACTGGTGTTCCCCCAACTACAACCAATTATTGCAGTCTGTGAATATGAATAACGATGCAAATCTAATTCAGTATAGTTATCAAGCATCGAGTAGAAGAACAATAGCAGCCAAAAATAGGTACCTAAGTGAAAAATGGAACCACACATTGCAATTCACCATGTGAGATCAACCCAAGCAAAGGAGAATGAAAACAATACCTAACTGAAAATTAAGTATGTTGCTATTAATGGTAAAAGATTTAAGCAACATTTTCATTATCAGTAGAAGTGTAAGAACATCAGTAGATAGACCTCAAAGTGACCTAAGTAAAATGGTCACTTATCTTTGGTTAGTCCTGAGGCACGCCTCAAAACTCACGACACCTCTTCATGTTTTCCAATATTGAGCATTATAGTTTCATTTCTTCCGATTGGTCTTGTACCAGACCAAACTTCTCATTAACCTGCAAATCATAGTTAATATGTTACGCTAAATGGGCAGGAACCTAACAGGGAAACCGAGAACAGTGTGATCGAGCAAGGACTTAGCAAACTGCAAATATTCTTGTTAAACATGGATCCATATAAAGTTTTGTGATTAAACTATACATCTTTGAATACAAACTTGTTTTTATCCATATGGTTATGGAAGATCGCTACATATTTCCCAAGTATGGATAGCTGAAAACCAACATCCCTAGAAATATAATACAAACAGTGAAGCACTTAACAAATACATTGACTATTTATTGATCAGATCGACCACCAACTGAGGTGGAAGAAATGATTTCATTATATAAGCACAAGAAGCGATTTCAACTTTAAAACAAATTAAGAGTATCAAGATTTTGAAATAAACCACAAGCACATTAGATAGTAGGTTCAAGCAAACATGTGTGAGCACAGACAATGAATGCAACAGACCGGATGGTGAACCCTTGAATACAGTTAATCACACAAATAATTTGAAAAAAAAAAATAAACTAAAACTCATAACTCATGTGTGAATGAAGATCAACAAAGCACACTAACCACTAATCCATATCTAAATAGCGCCGATTCTGGAGAAATTAGACATTCAAAACACATTGATTCATGATTCTCAAACTTTACCTGATAACCATCACCTACAAGATGTCAAACGGGGAAAAAACTAAACATCATTGAAAAGAGAAGAGGAAAAATCAAAAGGAAAACTAAACATCCATGATTGTATAACTTACTGATGTAGAAAGCTCCAAACATTTCTTCTCAAAACTTAGTCATGTAATGCCTTTCTTCTTAATACCTGGTCATAACGTTTTCTTTTATTGCAAGTACAGGGAAATCATATAAAATCAACCGAACACCAAAAGAAAGTGAAAATCAAAGGGAAATCAAAATCAATAAAAAAATTGATGGAGAAAAATGCGATGATACTTACAAATAAAACCTGGATGTGCTATACGGATCATAAATAGAGTAAAAAAACATCAAATGTGAACCTGAAAGTTGTAAAGAGTTCATAAAATATGAAACAAAAAGAAAAAACACATGAATGTTCTTGTAACCACCAACACACGAAGTTATTTACCCTAAGTAATTAACATCGAAGTAGAAGTAGTGGTGACGTCAGCTAGGTGTAGCGTAGCAGATATGGTTGCGTGATTGTTGTGGCTGTCGATGTAGGGTAGAGGTGAGATAGGAGAGCG